TTTTCCTTTTTCCTTCTCGGCTATTCCTTTTCTCTCGCTTTTCTTGATAGATAGAGAATTTTCTGGAAAAAAAGCAAGTCAGAATCGACACGCGCTTGTAGAACAAGTTCTATTTTGGAAATAAAATTGTGATTTTTGCGATCGCAAAAGCTTCAGGTGTGGGGTCCAAGTACCCATTGTTAAGTTTAAAAGCTAAAACCTGAAAAAGACTAAAAAATTCCACAACGCCTTACCAAGCAGCATCTCGCCGATGCACTTAAGGCGGCTGGCGTGAATTTTCCACTGACGGCCACGGTGGCCCAATTAAAGCGTCTTTATGCTGAACACCGCATTAGCGAGTCGCCTTACGAGGAGGATGAAGAGAACATCTCCGACATGGAAGATTCGGCAGCTCCGGACGACGACGCTACCATAGCCAGTGCCATGGGAATCGAAAAGCCAAGTAGGGCTACCCCTACTACTGGCCCTAGTGCATACGCTGAGGATACCGTTGCCCATCGTACAGCTGCCGCCACCGGTACTTTGGGCCCTAACGGAAGTACCAGTTATGTTTGCGAAAGCAGCGCTGCCGTCACTAATACCGCCGTCGGTGAATATTCCGCTGCTACGCCCGTCACCACAAATACTAATACTACTGCCGTCGCTAATATTACTGCCGCTAAGCCTTCTGCCGCTTCCGGCGCCACCATTAATTCTGCCGTCACTCCACACGCTGCCGCCGCCTTACACTCTGCCGCCACTAATTCTGCCGTCGCCTTACACTCTGCCGCCACTAATACTGCCGTCGTTGAAATTCCCGCCAACGCCGAAAGATCCTCTGCCGCAAATATTCGTGCCAAAACCGCTGTCGCCGCCATTAACAGCTCCTTGGGTTACGAAAGCTCTGCTGCTGCAAGCATTCCCGACGGCTTCAATAGTTTAGCCAGCGACACTAGCTCCGCTGCTTTGCACAATATTACTGGCAATGCCTTGGATCAACAGCTTAGGGAACTAAGGAAGAAACGCGAACTGTTGGAGCTACAAAAACAAATTTATGAGTTGGAAAACTCGATTGGTAGGCCCACCGGATGCAGAGCCTCGTTTGCGGACATCGAACACGCTGTACCAAAATTTACTGGTGATAACTCCACACGGTCAGTGCACCGTTTCTTTGAGGACTTTGAAGAAATTATGCGAACTGTCAATGCAGACGATCAGTTCAAACTGCTAAGCTTACGCCGCTCGCTACAGGGAACAGCTCGAGTGTTCCTAACCACGACGTCTGCTCTTAACTATCGAGACCTAAAGAAGGCGGTCATCGAAGAATTCGACAGTGCAGTCAGTCGCCAGGACGTCTATCGAACACTGACCGAACGGAAGTGGAAACACCTTGAAGAGTCCCTGCACTGCTATATTTTGACCATGCAATCTTTGGCGAAGCAGGGCGGCATCCGGGAAACCGATGTTATCGACCTAATTCTCGACGGTATCGGAAACAAAATCAACAATATCAACTTGCTTATGCCGGCGCAGTCAACCGTCAGCCGATTGCCGATCAACAAGTTGCCGCCGTTCTAGAAGATGAACTCATGGAATTGGAATCACTTAACTTTGTAAGTATTGCTTTTAAGACCAACCCGCGGGAGAGTGCAAACTTTAATAAATTCATTTCTCTTTTTGACACGGGTAGTCCAACTAGTTTTATGAAGCAATCGTGTGTGCCGAACAACTTAGTGACTTTAAACAATCCGCATCATAACTATCGCAGCATTGGTGGACTTAAGTTGAATATACTTTGTGAAATACAATGTTTTGTGAAATTTAAAAATGAAATAAAAAATGTTAAAATAAATATTTTGCCTGATAATGAGATGTTAGTGCCCGTCATCTTTGGACGTGATTTCTTGAAATTGTTTAACATACGGTTAACTAAAATAAAAAATAGATATGCGAAAAGCGATTTGGTATCCTATAGAAACGGAATTCCTTGCACTCCCCTGCCGGACGACTTGGTCGAAATCTTAAACAAGTTTAGCCTCTTGAAAGCTTATAAGCCACTTAACATTGAAAATATGCCCGCTAGAAGTAAGAGTGTTAGTGCCGGCTGTAGTGTCGCTGCCGAAGTGCCGGATATATTCAATATTGAAATAGCCTGCCGAAATGAAGAGTTAGACATAGATTTTTCCTTACATCCCAGTCAGCGTGCCGAACTAAATACTCTGATCCTAGACTCTTATTTACAGCCGAAATCCCTTAGAGTAGAACCGATGGAATATAAAATGAAGATACACCTAACAACTGATGTGCCGTTTCATTGCGCGCCTAGGCGTTTATCGTACGCTGAGCGAAGTATAGTTCAGAATATATTAAGAGATTTAGAGTCAGATGAGATTATACGTCCCAGTAATTCCCCCTACGCTTCCCCTATAGTTCTCGTAAAGAAGAGGGACGGCCAAAGGCGTCTGTGTGTTGATTATAGGGGTTTGAACAAAATAACTGTGCGGGATAACTACCCTTTACCACTAATAGAAGACTGTATAGAATATCTCGAGAGTAAGAAGGTGTTTTCGGTTTTGGACCTTAAAAATGGGTTTCACCAAGTTAAAATGTCACCTGAATCCATTCCCTATACTGCATTCGTGACGCCGAATGGACAGTACGAATACCTTAAAATGCCGTTCGGACTTAAAAATGCCCCGGCCATTTTCCAAAGATTTATAAATGATATATTTAGAGACTTAGTCGAGGCAAGGAAAGTAATCATTTACATGGACGATATAGTTATAGCGACGGAAACCTTCGAGGAACATATGACTTTATTGCGGACACTACTCGAGCGAATTAGTAAACGGGGTTTGAAGGTAAACTTGTCGAAATGCAAATTCGGATATGCTCAGATAGAATATCTGGGATACTCTGTATCCAAACGCGGAATCACTTTAAGTGAATCACATGTGAAAGATATACAAAAATATCCAATTCCAACCAATCAAAAACAGTTACACTCCTGCATAGGTCTGTTCTCGTATTTCCGCCGGTTTGTGCCGTCCTTCTCTAAAATTGCCAGACCACTGCTTAACTTACTGAAAAAGAACACTGACTTTAACTTCGACGAACACTGCCTTGCCGCATTTAAACAACTTAAAGCCAAGTTAACAGAACCTCCAATCCTAGCCATTTATAACCCCTCACGAGAGACAGAACTCCACTGTGATGCCAGCATGACTGGGTTTGGTGCAGTCTTACTGCAACGACAACATGATGAGAAATTCCATCCAATATCATACTTCTCCAAGAGTACCTCCGCTGCAGAAGCCAGATATCACAGTTTCGAACTAGAGACATTAGCTTTGATCTATGCTTTACGTCGATTTAGAGTCTACTTGGAGGGAATCCCGTTCAAAATAGTTACAGACTGTAACTCACTTGCCATGACCTTAGAGAGGAAACAAGTTAATCCGAGGATAGCGAGGTGGGCTCTTGAGCTCGAATCATACGATTATAAGATAGTGCACCGTAGCGGTGCTCTGATGGGGCATGCGGACGCACTGAGTCGCTGCCAAGTAGGTGTGACTTTGGACGTTGACGAAGTAGAATTCCAAGTACAAATTGCCCAAGAACGTGACGAAAATATCAAAAACATACGAGACCAGTTACAGGAAGCAGAGGTGAAGGGATTCGAACTAGAAAATGGCCTTGTCCTTAGAGTTAGGCGTGATGGTCGCAAAGTTTTGTATATCCCCCGTGAGATGGAAGACAATATAATAAGACTGATGCATGAGAAGATTGGTCACCAGTTGGTTGATAAAACCTTAAGGAAAATTTTTGATTATTATTGGTTCCCACAAATGCGTCAGAAGGTTGAGCGTTTTATTCATAACTGTCTTAAATGCATCATGTATGCTCAACCAGTCCGAGCGAATGAGAGGCACTTGTATAGCATCCCTAAAAAACCTGTTCCGTTCGACACGTTGCATGTAGATCATTTCGGGCCGTTACCATCACTAAAATCTAAGAGGAAGCACATTCTGGTTGTAATTGAT